GTTCACCCTGGGCTGGTGTTTTTCCATTTAAGTATAGCCGGTTGTGAGAGTACGGGTATTGCTGCTGCAGGCGTATCTGTATTTGGCCGTAGACTATGTGCTGATGTTCACGCTCATACCTGGTTCTGTAAGGCCTCTAGCTGAGTACTCCATGCAATTGATGTTGCGCTCCTTATGTTTGACTGTTGTGTGTACCATTTATGTATCAGGTTTGGAGATGTAGGTCATTGCTGCTGCAGGCCCCGTACTTGCCTATGGCATGTTCGCCAGCTCTCTGTTGTGCCGGTCGAGTCGCTCATGGTCTCGCCATGTGCCACTTTCAGGTCTCCTCACACTGCTGGAGGGTTCCATTTTGACATAGGGTGCTGGCAGATTACGGGCCCTCCCATTGCTGTGCCAGGCCCGTAATCTGCCATGGGCCCCCGTAACCGACTCCGCTCATGCTGCTGCCAGGCCCGTAATCTGTCATGGGCCCCTGTACCACCTCCTCATGCTGCTGCCAGGTCCAAAGTTGTGTCATGGGTCCCTGTACTGCCATCCCAGGTGCTGACTGCTAAGGCCCGTAATCGTGCCATGGGCCCCCCGTACCAGACGGGGCCGCATGCTTGCTGCCAGGCCCGTAATCCTGACATGGGACCCTGTACCGCCTCCACATGCTGCTGCCGGGCTCTCCAGAGTGTGTCATGGTCCCTATACGCCTCCCATTGCTTCTGTCTTCCATCGGCACACTCTGCCATGTGCCACTTTCAGGTCTCCTCACACTGCTGGTGGGTTCCCATTTCATCATAGGGTGCTGTATGGCCTCCCATTGCTGCTGCCAGGCCCGTAATCATGCCATGGGCCCCCGTACCGACTCCTTCATGCTGCTGCCAGGCCCGTAAACTGTCATGGGCCCCTGTACCGCCTCCTCATGCTGCTGCCAGGTCCAGAGTGTGTCATGGGTCCCTGTACGGCCTCCCATTGCTGCTGTCTCCATCGCCACACTCTGCCATGTGCCACTTTCAGGTCTCCTCACACCTGCTGGTGGGGTTCCATTTTTGTCATAGGGTGCTGTATGGCCTCCCATTGCTGCTGCCTCCACCGCCACACTGTGGCTCCACACTCTGGTTTTGGCCCCGTGACTGCCCAAATGAGTGAAGTGTGCGGTGATTCTAAGATCGACGGGCACTCATCCTGCATGTCATACTGACTGACAGTATTATTTCTCTTCCCAGCAGACTCCAAGGGCATTTAAATTAAAGGTACAGTGTTCTGCACTAATATAAAGGCTCTCTGAAACCTAGAAACACCCTTTTTATAAGTTAAATTCGCAGCGAATATATTCGGCTCGAAGCGAATTTATTTGGCGAATTCGGCAAATCAGCCGAACCGAATTTTTGAATAATTCGCATCATCTCTAATCGTGACCATTTTTTTTTGTTGAGCCAAAACATTCGTTTTTAGAGCGTACAACCGACCTCTGGATTATGTATGAATAAGTTCACCAGAAGAGGTCCCAGGACAGAGCCTTGGGTACCCCACTTACCACTCCAGACCAGTCTGGGTACATGGTACTTATGACCCCCTGCTTACATCAGGGTTTCTCAGAGCCCCCCCCTTTCATCCATCAGGGTCCACTACCCCAGTTTGGAGGGGGGGAGCTCTGCCCTCTCCTCTAAATGCTGCTCTCTCCCAGCACATAGACCAATTCACAGTCATCTGATTGCTACGATGGCCTCTGATTGGCTATCACAGTGATCAGTCACTGTGAAGCCGGCCCACGTGTTTTTCTCTCTCTGAAACAATTTCTCTCTCTCCTTGCAGAGAGAAAAAAAACTGTAAAAAAATTATTAAAAAAAATAAATAATTTAAAAAAATCCTAGATCAAGGTTTGGTCTAGGTCAGTACCAGGATTAGTGTTTGGGTCAGAGTCAGTATTTTTTTTAGCACAATTTTTTATTTTTAAATCAGTATCAGTGTCAGTTAGTGTCAGTGTCAGTTAGTGTCGGTGTGTTTTAGATAGGATAAAAAAAAAAAAATCAGAATGCGCACTGTTGATTCTAGGCTGTACTACGGGTACAAACACAACTAACATACACACATGTGGTATCACTGCGATCGTCAGGGGCAGGAGAATTTATTTTGGGTTGTTCTTTGGTGATAGGTTATGGTAGTAGCAAGAAATATACAGCTAAATGAAAAAAAATGATTTATTTTACTATTTTGGGACAGTTTTCCATCGATTAATAATAAAAAAAATCAGGAGATATCCATTATCATTTACCATCAAATGAAAGCGCAATTTCTCCTGAAATAATTGCGGTATAGTCCACCTGGATGCACACAGTAGTAGTGATGATATGTACAGATTCACTAACACATGTCAAAGTTGCAAAATTGTGCTTAGGCATTAAAATTTGTTTTACCCTTAGGCGCAAAGGGGTTAATTGAGCAAGCAGACGCTAGAAAGCTGATTGGCTCCCATGCACAGCTGCTCCAGTTTTCATAAATCTCCCCCCCCCCACCATGTGTTCCAGTAACAACTATCTAAGAGGGGGATTCCTCTGACCTCGGAGAGATTTCCTTGTGTCTCTGTGAACAGGAAATGAAATATGTAAAAAAAAAAAAAAAACTGAGCGAGGTTCTAACCCTTCCCTACTCTATCAAAACAAAAAAAAAGGAAGGCTTTAGATACATTGTAACCAAAGCCTGAAAATGAACGCTTCAAAATACTAAACCGAACACTTCAAGTTTTCAACAAAACTTTATTGAAACATGAAAGATGAAAGTTGGACAATAAAATGTACAATAAAATGTCAGCACACAAAAAATCAAATCCCAGAACATAAAATGGCACAAAAATAGAGACAAGATAAAATGCATAACAGTGGAATATAAAACCTTAAAATGCATGGAATATATAAAACAACACATATAAAAGGGTAAAATGACTTCTCAGTAGAATTCCACAGAGACAACCAACAGTGTGGATTTTGCTTTTTTACCACCCGATGCGTATTTTCTCTGGGCTGCATTAGTTTTCTTCTTTTTAGGTTTTTCCCCTCTGTTTTCACCTGGTGATCTGGTCAGTAGGACTGGGCCAAGGGGTGGGCAGGGGGGAGGCTGCCCTGGACACTGTGATATCATGTGGGGTGGGGGGGGGGGTGGGGATTTGTACTAGGAGGGGAAATTTGAGAGGATTTGTGTTAGGATGGGGGATTGGGGAGAATTTTTGCTGGGGGGGGGAATTTAGAGTGGGGGGAGAGGATTTGTGCTCAGAAGTGAAATTTGAGGTGAGGGGGTAGAGGATTTGTACTAGGAACGGGGAATTTTTTTCAGGGGGTGGATTTGTGCTGGGGGCATATGAGGAATGAGTGGATTTGAGCTGGGGGTTGGGGGGGCAAAATATTTGTGCTGGGAAGGGGATTTCAGCAAGGAGCAGATTTGTACTGGGAGGAGGGGGAATGCTTAGGGGATAAGCAGGCAGATTAGTCCATTTTTTGTGGGGGAGGGGATTTTTGCTAGCACATAATGCTCATACATCTTGGGGGGGGGCACAATTCAGCATATTCACCCTGGGCTCTAGATGATCTTGTCCCGGCACTGCTGGTCAGTAACACACCTCCTGTATTAGAGCACCCCCAATCTGGAGGAAGGAGCACAGGGGGCACCTTTGGACAGCAGCATCATCTGTCTGGGGGGAGGGGAGTGTTAAATGGACTAGCAGATTTAAATACACTAACAAATTTAAGCCAAACTCTAAGCAGTTACACTGAACATGCTTTCCCTTTTAGGATAAAGTTTTTCACATAAAAGCTGAGTATAGTAATCACCCGTCATTAGCAGATGGTTTGTCTCATCCCTGTAACCGCTTTATCTGGAAGAGAGCTTGTCCCTTTAAAAAACAACAGACATACTGACAGGATCACCAGATAAAAATAGAGGAAAGAAAGCCTAAAACATAAAACCAATGCAGCCGTCACATCTAAGAATTGGTAAGCTGCAATATAACAAATGTTTCCCTTTGGGTTTAATACGGCTTTGAGGTACAGAATGTCCTTCCCTTATAACCACTTTACAGAATAAAATATTTTCACCTTTCTAGATGACTTATTTATAACAGTGAATAACCATCCAGCATAAATCTCTGCTGTTCAGCAGTCAGACGGGTAAAAGGGCCATAAAACTGACTCATGATTAAATCTTCAAAGGGGTTGTAAACCCTTACCTATACCCAGTGCAGTGACTGGCCTCAGGAGATACACAGAGAGGAAACAAATCCTCCTACATAAGTTGTACCTGTGTATCTGCAGTCTTCTCTTCTCTACATCTGTTCAAAGTGCAGAATTTATACAGCTTGTCCAAAAGTTCAGAAAACAGGGGGCGGGAGCTAAAGTTACATAACCCCTAACCATAACATAACCCCCAACCTCAGCATGACCCCCAACCCTAGCATAACCCCTAACCTGGACCCCTAAAGCTGACCATACAATATACAATCTGTTTCGGATCTACAGCAACTACTGTATGTAATGCGAGGGTCTGCCTGGATACAATGTGAGTGGATTGCTCCCCCCCCCCAAATCTTGCCTTGTTGGGTGTGGAAGTGATGGAGGACACTCTCCTCGGCTGAGATCTACCAGATCTACCGATTGAAGAAATATATTATCTCTACAAACGGTGTCATCCTATGAACCAGATTCACATTTCTTCAGCAGATTTCACCAGATTCAGGTCAGATTTCCTGTCATATGATCATTTTACACGTCTCCTGACCCCCCCAGAGAGATCTTTACACGACCTTCTCTACATACAATCCGACATGGAGGGGCTCAGTGAAGGTGGTGGTGAAGGTGTGGAGGTATCTGATGGGGTCACACAGATCATAAAAGGACAGCTGCCCGGCCTCATCATCCACATAGATCCTGACTCTTATCAGGGGGGGTATCGGGAGATATGAGGATTGGTTTATTATCATGTAATAGATCACACTCACTGTTATATACTTCCTCAAACTCCCAGGACTTGTTATTAAATCCAATCCCTGACTGCAATCCTCCCCTTTCTATACTGGGATAACACATTCCGACTTCGCACTTTTCCCCCCTCACTGACTACCACTTCCCAGTAATGTCGCCCCGAGGAAAAACTCCGACTGCTTAATACCTGGCTATAGATCTGAAATCTCTCTCTGTGTTTCTGGACGATTCTGCCATCTATCTGACCAGGATGCAGTTTTCATGTCATCTGAATATCTGTAGATTATTCTGAGCTGTGTTCACATCCAGTAATAAGTCTGAAGCTTCCTGTAATTATTGAAGCATACATTTCCCCCTTTTATCATATCAGATATCCCTGTGTGTAATGTGTGTGAGATTCCAGCCACATCCAGATCCCCTCCATCATGGAGGAGTCTATCATGTCTCTCTCTGTCCTCATCATCTCCCTCCTCAGTATCACACAAGTCCCCTGTGTCTGATTCCTGGAGGACAGTCAGGGGGTCGGTCATGTTACACACAGCTCCTCAATGTCCCCCATCTTCCTGGACAGATCCTTCTTCTTTATCTCCAGTTGATGGATCATCTCAGACAATGGACATGAAAGCCGCTCTTCCTGGCTGGCGATCTCCCTCAGGACTCTCTTCTCCAGGTCCTCCAGTTGTCTCCTGAGCTCTATGAACAGGGCAGTGACTCTCTCTGTTAGGATGAGAGAAGGAGAAGAAGCGCCTCTAAGTGCAGCATAACACTTTAATGAAGATGAGAAGTAGGAACCCTCCCATGTATGAGGTACAAGTAATGCATGAAATAAAGTGGTGTGGTGTAACATGGGACAGGAGGGGGTGTTGTCATCGGTGTCACTGAGCTGTCATCGGTAACAATGTGTCAGCGTTCCGCTGGAGCAGCGTGGTGGCTGGAGGGGGACAGCTGTGGAGCCGGCCGGCGTGCACGTCCTCCTCAAAGCCGGGTGGAACGCACGCTGGAACACAGCGCCGATGTGGGCGTGATGACGTCAGTTACCCAAGGTGCACTGCGACGCATTTCGGAGCATGCGCTGGCCTGGAGAGGCGGAAGTGCGCTCCTTTATCAAGCCGGGGGAGGTGGGGAGTCCGATAGTTGTATATATACCGAGTTAAATACCACAGAGGGGCTGATTGGAAATTAATTAACCAATTGTTTCAGCAATAATATGTGATTATACCATTGTTGTAAGGTGACACTGTGTGGTTAAAAGAGTACGGGAAGAGAATTAAAATGTGTAAATGGATGAAAAAATAAGAAGTTATTAATAATGAAAATAAAATGGTATGGAAAAAAATGAAACGGGAAAAATGGAAAACAGAGGAAATGAAAAAGAAAAGAACAAGGAAAAAAAGACATTTGGTTATCAATATTTATAAAAATGTGAATAAAAATAGAAATGGCCAAAATGAAAAATAATAATGTAAAATCAAATGTAATTATATATATATGTAAAAAATAAAATATATAAAATGTATGTGTAATATAATATAATATATAATATATATATATATATATTATATACACATAACACATACATCCACATACACAAAAAATTATAAAAAAATTATAAAATAAAAAACTAAAATAAAATTAATATACATGAAATATATATACATTGGTAAATTAAAAAAATAATAAACTGTAAAATTAAAAAATTACAAAATTACGAAATTTAAAAAATAATCAATGAAATATAAAAATGAAAAATAAAAAATAGGTAAATAAATAAAAAAAATAAATAAATGAAAAATTAATAAAAATTAATTGAAAATTAAAAAATAAGATTAAAATTAAAAAAATATATATGTAAAAATTAGCTATGTTTGCACACAATGGTGTATGCTTGGTGAGATGGCTCATAAATTTAGCTAGTGGCATAGGATGTGAAAGAGCACCTTGCAAACAGTGGTATATAAAATAATTAGGTGAGTAAAAAAATGCAGTATAACCATGGTAATGGTAATGATGATAATCAAATTACTGTAGAATAATGACAATATTACAAATATAAAAAGAAAAAGAAAGTATTATTATTATTATTACACAGGATTTATATAGCGCCAATAGTTTGTTCAGCGCTTTACAATACAGCATCAATACAGTTCAATACAAGAGGGATTTGAGGGCCCTGCTCCTTGGATCTTACAATCTAGGAGGGAGGGGCTAGTGATACAAAAGGTAGTAACTGTGGGGGATGGACTGGTTGGAAAAGTAGAAGATTCCAGCATTAGTAGATGAGGGCAGGATAGGCTTCCCTGAAGAGATAGATTTTCAGAGATCGCCTAAAAGTGAGCAGAGTAGGCGATAGTCTGATAAATTGGGGGTAGAGAGTTCCAGAGGATGAGGAAAGCCCCAGGGAGAAGTCCTGGAGACCAGCATGGGAGGAGGAGACAAGGGAGCTAGAGAGTTGGTCTTGCGAGGAGTGGAGAGGACGGTGTGGGTAATATTTAGAGACAAGATCGGTGATGTAATTTGGGGCAGAGTTATAAATGGCTTTATACGTTCATTGTTAATATTTTGAATTTTATCCATTGGGCGATGGGAAGCCTGTGGATGGATTGGCAGAGAAGGGTGGAGGACACTGAATGGAGGCCAGTGGAGGGATTGGCAGAGAGGGGGGAGGACACCTAGTGGAGGTCAGTGGAGGGATTGGCAGAGAGGGGGTGGAGTACACTGAGTGGAGGTCAGTGGAGGGATTGGCAGAGAGGGGTGGAGGACACTGAGTGGAGGTCAGTGGAGGGATTGGCAGAGAGGGATGGAGGACACTGAGTGGAGGTCAGTGGAGGGATTGGCAGAGAGGGGTGGAGGACACTGAGTGGAGGTCAGTGGAGGGATTGGCAGAGAGGGGTGGCAGATACAGAGCGGTTAGTGAGGTGGATGAGTCTGGCAGCAGTATTCATGATAGACTGAAGAGGGGAAGCTCGCCTGCGATGAGGTAGGCCAATGAGGAGGGAGTTACAATAGTCAAGGCGAGATATAACAAGAGAGTGGATAAGTTGCTTTAGTGGTTTCCGAGGTTAGGAACGGGCGTATCTTGGAGATGTTGCGGAGGTGAAGTCTACAAGATTTGGACAGGGATTGGATTTGGGGCTGGAAGGACAGATGGGAGTCTAGGATTACACCTAGTACCCTGGCATGCGGGGAGGGACTGATGATTGTGTTACTGATCTTGATGGAGAAGTCAGGGGAGGGGGCACGGGCTGGAGGGGAATACTAAGAGCTCATTTTTTGGAAAGATTGAGTTTGAGGAAGTGGAGTGACATCCATGCCGATATGTCACATAGTAGGTTAGTAATGCGAGAGGAGACTGAAGGGGTGAGGTGAGGTGAGAAAGATAGATTTGTGTGTCATCAGCATAGAGATGGTACTTAAAGCCATGGGAGTTTATCAAGTGACCAAGGGAGGAGGTGTAGATGGAGAAGAGAAGGGACTTGGACAGAACCTTGAGGGACCCTTACAGAAAGAGGGAGTGAAGAGGAGGAGGCCGCTTTATATAGGTAACACTGAAGGAGCGCTGCGATAGGTAGGAGGAGAACCAGGAGAGAGCAGAGTCTCTGAGGCCAAAAGAGCGGAGTTTTTTGAGGAGGAGGGGATGGTCAACCGTATCAAAAGCCACAGAGAGGTCAAGTAGTAAGAGTATGGAGTAGTGGTCATTGGTTGGGATGAGTACGGAGTAGTGTGCCATTGGTTGGGATGAGTACGGAGTAGCGGCCATTGGTTGGGATGAGTACGGAGTAGTGGCCATTGGTTTTAGCAGTTAGTAGATCATTAATGAGTTTTAGTAGGGCAGTTTCAATGGAGTGTAGTGAGCGAAAGCCAGACTGTAAGGGGTCAAGAAGGTTGTTGTCGGTGAGGTGGGAGCTCAGGCGATTGTAGACTAAGTGTTCTAGGAGTTTAGAGGTAAATGGCAGCAGGGAGATGGGTCCAGGTAGATTTTTTTAAGTATGGGAGTGATGTGGCGCATGCTTTAGAGGGGAGGGGAAGGCACCAGTAGAGAGGGAAAGATTGAAGATGTGAGTGAGGGAGCATAGGATGGAAGAGGAGGGTGACCGCAGTAGTTGTGAGGGGACAGGATCCAGGGGGCAGGTAGTGAGATGAGCTTCTGAGAAAACCTTAGTGACCTCTTCGGTAGTAGCAAGGTCAAAAGAGGAAAGTGTTGAGGGAGGTTTAGTATAAGGTATGCTAAGTGGGATGGATGTCTGTGCAGTGGCGATGCCCCTACGAATTGCGTCAATCTTGTTTTTGAAATGATTTGCAATCTCATGAGCAGTGAGTGAGGTACTGGGTGGGGGTGGAGGTGGAGAAAGTAGACAGTAAAAGTAGAGAAGAGGCGAAGAGGACTGGATGACAAGGTATTAATAAGGTAATAATAATATATATATATACAGTTGTGTTCAAAATAATAGCAGTCAGACATCACTAACCGGATCAATCACTGTTTTTGGTAGAAATCATATTTCTACATGGCAAATAATTTCCTAGCAGGTGTAGTAGAGTAATAGAAATCCAACAGACCCAACAGTCATGACATGCATGCTGCTGATTCTGTGTCATTGAATCACTCATTGAAAGGGGCATGTTCAAAATAATAGCCGCGTGGCGTTCTAATAGTGAGCTCATTCATTCTTTGAAAAACAGGTGGCAAATATTGCCCTTATTTAAGGAAGGAAGGCAGCAAATGTTGTACATGCCGGTTACAGTGCATTTCTCTGTGAAATTCTGAGGAAAATGGGTCGTTCCAGACATTGTTCAGAAGAACAGCGTACCTTGATTAAAAAGTTGATTGGAGAGGGGAAAACATATAAAGAAGTGCAGAAAATGATCAGCTGCTCAGCTAAAATGATCACGAATGCTTTAAAATGGCAACCAAAACCTGAAAGACGTGGAAGAAAGTGAAAAAACTACCACTGGAATGGATAGAAGAATAGCCAAAATGGCGCGGACTCAGCCAACAATCAGCTCCAGGAAGATGAAAGAAGGTGTGACGTTCCCTGTGAGGACTGTTACAATTAGAAGACGCCGATGTGAAGCCAAGCTATCTGCAAGAAGTCCCCGCAAAGTCCCACTGTTGGAAAAAAGACGTGTGCTGAAGAGGTTACAATCTGCCAAAGAGCACATTGACTGGCCTAAAGAGAAATGGTGCAACATTTTGTGGACTGATGAAAGTAAGATTGTTTTTTTTGGGTCTAGTGGCCGGAGACAGTTTGTCAGACGACCCCCAAACACTGAATTCAAGACACAGTACACTGTGAAGACAGTGAAGCATGGTGGTGCAAGCGTCATGATATGGGGATGTTTCTCATACTACGGTGTTGGGCCTATTTATCGCATACCAGGGATCATGGAGCAGTTTAAATACATCAGAATACTTGAAGAGGTCATGCTGCCTTATGCTGAAGAGGAAATGCCCTTGAAATGGGTGTTCCAACAAGACAACGACCCCAAACACACCAGTAAATGTGCAACATCTTGGTTCCAGACCAACAAGATTGACGTTATGGAGTGGCCAGCCCAGTCCCCGGATCTTGATCCCATAGAAAACTTGTGGGGTGACATCAAAAATGCAATTTCTGAGGCAAAACCAAGAAATAGAGAAGAACTGTGGAATGTGGTCCAATCATCCTGGGCTGGAATACCTGATCACAGGGGCCAGAAGTTGGGTGACTCCATGCAAC